TCAAAAAGCAGAGTATTTGCGACGGCATCATTTGCCGTCTCAAAAAAGCAGAGCATTTGCGACGGCACTATTTGCCGTCTCAAAAAATGAGAGTATTTGCGACGGTATTTAGTGCCGTCGCAAATACTCTCATTTTTTGAGACGGCAAATGGTGCCGTCGTAAATACTCTGCTTTTTTGAGACGGCATTTTCTGCCGTCGCAAAAAGTAACTTTTTGAGACGGCAAGTGTGCCGTCGCAAATAGTTCTGTCTCATATACCCAGTTTTCTTGTAGTGCCCTGATGTCCCAGGTATATATGAGTGATCTCATTTAACATAATTATTCTTATATTTATAATTAATTTTTTATTTATTAGATAAAAAAATTTTAAAAAATAAAAAACTAATTGGTTCTTCCACTTAGCTTGTACCACTGCAAAATATTAACACTCCATTGTTTCACAAGGTATGTTGACGTTGAAATGTCATTGCCATTTCCGCCCCTATAATGTGTGTTTTGGCCCCTTCTAATTAGAACCATCTCAATTAATCTTAAAACTAATTCTTGTTAATCAATAGTTTGCAGCTGCTATTTCATTGTTCTTATTATTATTATTATTATTATTATTATTATTATTATTACATACTCATCTTTGGAATCTGGCATTGAAATATGATTAATGGAACAAAATTTGTATTTATTCATATTCACCTTTACTAAACGTTGTTTGTATCAAACAGTTCCAATCCTACAACCCAAAATTGCTTTCAATTTTTGCCTATGAAAGTTTCCTAGGAACCAAACATTCTCCAAGCAAGCAACTGCTCATTCAATTCCCTCTCTTCACACACACACATATATATGTGTATATATTTTGATAATTCGGTATTTGGTTCAATAGACGGACTAATATGAGGGATCAAACTCACCGTCTACTAACAAAGGTCATCTTTTGGCTAAGGATTAACACTTAAATGATGGACATGACATGAGCAGGAAAATCACCTTCATCTGACGACACCAAGGACACAGCCTGAAATGATCGTGCCTGATGTAAGTCATTCGTCTTTGTTTTCAATCTAGTAATTTCCATGAAATTAATCTCGAATTGAGCTACTTTTGTTTGGGTATGGTTGTTTTCTTTTCCAGTATTCAAATTGGGTGTCAACCTTTATAGAATGACGTGTTGATTATTTTTCTATAGTTAAATATTATTTAAATGAACGATTTATTTTAAAATAATAAA